TCAAAGAAACCTGGGGTTTTAGTGAAACCCCGTAGAAGCAAACTCACTACTCCTTGGAACATTTCCCTTGGCATGTGTGAGGCGGCATCTATTTTCTTTTGGAACATGTACCTTGTTTTTCACTTTCCCGTGCAAGTTGGAGTTGCTGTCGTAGCAAATAGAGGCAAAAGAAAAGGAACTGGAAGCGATGGAGAAGAAGCTGGAGGAAGAAAGAAGACGGAATCAGGTGATTGGTGGTGGTAATTCTGCCTTTGCAATCGTCGAGAGTTTTGTTGTCAAAACCTGGAAGATCTGTCGCAAAGCCTGCAATTCTAGTGAAGCCCTAGAGAAGCGAACTCAACGGCCCTGCATGAGCGAGCGGAGGCTGCAAGCTCAGCGCGTACAGTGGATGCCACGTTCGAAGCAGCTTGGTCGCAGCCTAGACGTGTCAATTTTTGTTTTGATCTGCGTGATGAGCTGCAAGGGCCCTGAGAATCACCAAGGCCATGCCGCCATTGGGACACAAAACGAACCAGGCGTGGTTGAACCTTCGAACTGCCTCAGGGGTCGACTTGAAATGCGTGGCTTGGTAGCTTCCAATTTCGGAAGATGGGGTAATTTGCCGCCTTTCTGCAAATGCGATCCATCCATTGATGTTGTCCCTCCTCAAGCTATGAAGCAACAAGTTTTGAGGTGCTGAATGTTTCGGAAGCTCGGCTTGAAGAAGTCTTCCAGCACCTTCAGGACAGATCGGTAGTCTGGGGTGTCGTCATATTCCAGCTACTAGTGTGTGTGATTCCTTCACCCATGCTTAGTTAATCTTCCATACAGAAAAACATCGTTTACAAAACATTACAAAACATCAAACCAAGGCATCAAACCAAGCTCCAGAGAGAAAAAGGTCCTGCAGGTCCTTTTGGAGCTTGGAAGGGATATTATTGCTTTTGAGTATATACATAATACCAAAATCTTCTAGCCAGTTAACGTGTTTTCGCTTCCCGTAGATTCATCACTTTCTTGGCCAACAGCTTTGATGTCGGAGCTCGTTTCAGCTTTCGCGCCCGTTTTTCCGCCGCCGCAAGGAGCCGACGGAGGCCTCGGATGTGATGATGGCATCCAAGCTGAGCGAGGCGATGCAGCTTTGCCGCATGAACCCAGAGGAGTTTGAGGCGGGGAGGTTTGAGTCACAGGCTTCCGAACACAGTAACACAGGCATCTAGTTTGTTTGTCACATCACAAACCTCACTATTTTAATGACCGATTAATGACACAGGTTTGAGTCACAGGCTTCTGAACAGACCAGCATCGACGCCAACTGTTTGCCGAATTCAAGCGATGACTCGTTCATGGAAACGTTGAGTATGTAGTCGTGGGCCAGTGGCCCAGAAGGAACCAACGGGGTGCTTTTCGTTGTTGTCTTCGCTGTACTTCAAGGCTGCTCCAAGCTGTTTCCAGATGGAACTTTGGAGGGTGAAGCTTGTTGCTGCAGTTGCTGCAGGTGACCGCGCTCCTCGACCGTTTGGGCAGACCAGATCACTTCAACCTGCAGACCTTCAAGCAGGTCATCAAGGAGAGACTCACCGTCCTGATGGATCACACACACATTCATTTGCATGTCAAAAGCATGTTACTGGTTATAGATCTTGCCTTGTGGTTAGATCTGCTTCCAGTGGACAGGAAACTCTCGCTGAGTGGTCTCAAAGAGATGAGGCATGGGGCGCATGGGTGGCTCTTCGAAGGTTTTGAACCCTTTTGATCCGTTTTTTTTCCGATGACCGATGAACGAAACCAACCAACACGACCTAAGAACACGGCCAACCAAACGGGCGAGGGGGGCATCCTGGCGACCCACGCAGTTGGCAAGTTCGTGTTCAGGTTGTCTTTGAAGAGTCGCATGTGCTGGTACCGTTTTGCATGATCCTGTGAAGCAGTTCAGACATGTTCAGGGAGACAATCCTTTCATCATGTTTCATCCCAATTTTGTCAAACGTTCTGCATTGCCTTCTGCGATATCTTGCAACAAATGCATCCTCCAAATACACGGCGCGTACTAAGCACAGCAGCCACCCCTTTTGAAGGTGCAAGAAGTGCTCAGCAGCTTCCAAGTGTTCGACCCTGAACGCACCGGTGTCTTGGCATGCTTTTCTTTGGCTTGTATAATGCTTTTGTTGCAGACATGTCTTGGTAGAAGATCTTCAAACTTTGAAAAGGCTTGGGGTGGCTACATGCAGTATAAAAGTGTATTTTGTTGAACATAGTGCACTTTGCTGAGGTTTCTTGTCTCGAGATACAATCCAGCATATCATGTGCCTCGGAGGTTTGGACCTCAAGTGACAGTTGCTTCTCACTTTTTCTTGCAGGGAAGGAGCTGCAATGAACTTTGAGCATGCTGCAGCTTTCTTGGAATTCCGAGTTAGCAATTGACTTTGAAGAGAATGTGAAGCAGGGAGAATTAGATAGACAGGAACAAGTGAGATATCTACTACTGCTGTCCTGGCATAAGCACACTCCAGATGAGCCCATGTGTTTGGAAGCTCCACTTGGTTTGCGGCGATGTGCGGGTGTTGTTCTCTTGGGGCTTTTGTGTTGAGAGATTCTTGATTGGTGTGTGTTGATGCTGTGGGGTTGTTCTCATTAGTGTTTTGTGTTAAAAGATATGTGTAATTTAACTCTATCGATTCTAGTGAGAGAAAGTTTGTCTCCTTGGAGTTAGCCTCCCAGCCTTTGACCCACCGTCGACGAAGGCAACGGAATCACGGAGGAGCAGTTGGAGGAGAATGTGTTGCACATTCTTTTTTCCAAGTCAGTCTACTGTACATCGTTGGATGCACGTGGCATGTCAAGGGAGAAGATTGATTGAAAAAGCTTGGATGCAATCATTTTTGCATAATATATGTGTAAAGGACATGCTCAAGGACGCGCCCTCAAACGGCTTCTCGGCAACATCGACCCTGAGTGAAGTCCAGCTGGAGCCATGCGCAGACCCACTTAAAACCAGTCTTTTTCTGGCGGGGGCAATTTTCAGCGAAGCTCAAAAAGCAAGGCGCCAAGCAATTGTGGTGTCGATTATGGCTACTTCCGCGTTGCTTTTTGTATTTTTTGTGACTTCTGCATCCTTTTGGTGTCACTTCTTTTCTCGTGAATTATCTTCTGCATCTTGCCGTGTCATGCTTTCCGGAGAGACGCGTCATGCTTTCTGGCGAGACGAACAGACACATTGTTTGGGTGGTCGGAAACTGAGGTGCGGGCTTTGATTATATTTATTTGGTGCACTACTTGCTCGGGCCGGAGGCCTGCCCCAGTGCGTTCAGTCATGACCTTGTCACCAGTCAGTGCGTTATTCAGTTCTCTTTAAGGCCCAGGTCCCAGGTGCTTGTGATGTTTGGTGTTTTGAGATGTTTTTCTTTTGGACCCCGAAACAGGTGAACAATCCTGGCAGAGCACCAGAAGAATCCTGAAGTCAATGAAGGTGGGACTTTGCTCTTGGTGTTCTTGACTGCGGTTGCCGAACATGACCACGCACTACACACTCTGGTCGCAGTCTACTTCGCAGGCTCCCCCCGATACGCAAAGATGTGAGCCTGAAACTCGTGGAGGGCGGCTGATCCGCCAGCATTGAAGTGCAGAAGAACATGGCTGTGGATGTTCATTCAAAAAGTACCTAATTTTCCCAGCAGAAAACTAGTTCCAGTGAAGCCTTCAAAGGTGGCGGGTCAGCCGCTTGATTCTGTCATCCAAGACGTCGGCGTTGGCAAAGCAACCGGTCATGGCAAAGCCAGATGGCCAAGCGCAAAGGAGGCAGTTGAGGTGAAAAGTGGAAGAGAATTTCCTTGATGAGTTCCGGATTCTCGTCACCTGTCACTTCGCAATTGGAGCGGCCAGAGAGGCTCAATATGACCATGACTGTCATGACCTTTGTTTGCCCAGTGTTTTTGGTCCAAGATCAACAGCCAGAGCCAGCCCTTTGAGTGAAGAAGCTTTTCTTTCGGTGCCCCCAAAAACCAGGTGAGACGACTGGAGCTATCACCGACATTCTGTCGGAGGAGAACCATTTGGGCAAAGTTCACGCAGAACTGCGCTCGAAAACGTCTTTGCTGCAACCGACTAGAGTTTCCACTGTGTTCCAGATATCCCACTGGAGAGTTCGAGAGTCAGCCCGAAAACCCCTTGAACGATTCGGACCTTAGGCATGCTCGATTTTGGGCCCCGTACCTCATCGTGTGCGCAGATGAACAGAATGGTCCACTAAGGGAGATTCACTTGCCGAGAGTGTTGACCCGCAACGCTCTTCAAGACTCGAATTGCGGTTTGATTTGCCGGGGGAGGAGGGAAACACCGGCTGACTGCTGCCTGTAGTGATTTGCTGGGAGGTTCAGATTTTTGGGGGGTGTCCCTACTACCTGTAACAGTTGTTAGAAGGCCTTTACTAACCATCATCCACTGTTACAGGGAATAGGATACACCCAACACATAACTTCTTTTTCAAATTGTTTTGTGGAACTTGTTACACAAGGGGAGCCGTCGTTGATCCAGACCAAGCGGCACTTTGTCACATGGCAAGGGTTCAAGCCAAGCGACGGCTGACCTGCTTGCCGCTCTGCGGCTTTGACCAAGAATATTATGTTTGGAATGGCAGTTGTCCTTAGTTTCTCAGTTTCTTGCAGTTGTCCTAAGTCTCTTGCATGTTTGTAATCGTGGCCGGAATTGAGACACGAGGCTACTTGTAAGCGTTTGCATGCAGTTCAGCCACATAGCCCACATGTCATGCAGTTTCGCAAAGAAGCTCTGTACAAAGAATTGCCATGTGGCCGAAGCCATCGTGTTGAATAACATGTTCACGTTCTCGCCGTGCCTTCTAGGGCTTCCAAGTGGAAAACACCTCATGAGTCCGGCAACAAATAAATAAGCCAGCAACGGTGGATGTTGCTTCAATTCTTGGCAGCTCCTACTATAAGAACTAGCCAAGTACTGAGTACAGTCTTTGCTTTGTAGGGATGTGCTTTTGAACACATTGTCTTGAAGTTCTCAGATGTGTTTTTTGTTTTTTTAAATCACTCCTTTGAACGCTTTACTGCTTGGCTGTCTCTGCCAACAATGATTCTTTCACAGAAGAGGACCGACATCGGTTTTGAGATTCTCGTGGATATGTGGCGACTGCTAAGAGGAATCTTAGGAACTCCCAATTGGCTTCCCGAATTTCTAAAACCACTCAAGTTTAGAGATTCTTTTGGATATTTGCATTGGACAAGGCATCAGATTTTGAGATTGGTTTTCAGGACCAATGGTTGACAGACGTTGGTTTGGAGATTCTTGTTCCAGTGATGACCTCCTGCAGCTGCTTCGCTAGGAACGGCTCAGCTCTCCAGGACGGCTTTTGGGTGCATTTGCCATTTCGACATCGTCGAGAAGACCTTTTTTGGCGGATCATTTGGGAGTCATTTGGCTTAGTTTGTGATCATTCATCATGTCTTTGATTAAAAACAAACAGACATATTTGTTTTTGATTAAGCTGGAATGAATACGAAGAAAGACATCATTCATGAGTGACCAGCTCCTGCCAGCTCCACCGTGTTCTCGTCCTTCGAACGACCGGTGAGTTCCGCTTTCACGCTTCCAGGAGAGCCCCGAGAAGCGCCCGCGACTGGAGATCGCTGCGACGCACGAGGCAGTGAAACCCCTTCCGGCCCGATGGATCCGTTGATGGATTCGTCTGCGTTGCACCGCCTCCGTCGACGTTGTTATTTTTTGTGAAAGAACTCGTTTTCCTACAGTTGTTTTTAGTGTTTTTTTCTGAATTGGGGGTTTGGAATCGAGTTCGGTTTGGTCAGATGAAAGGATCCAAAGAGGAGTGGAAGCGCACTTATTAGATTGATGTATATATCTAAATACACACATTGCATCCAAAATGACACATCCCCAAACACCAAACCATGCTGCATGGTGCATACTGATGAGCTCCGTGGCAAAGCAAGAAAAACCCATCGCGGTGGAAACAGTGTCTTCTCCAACCCTTCGGAGCTGAGCCTGTGATTTCTTACACTCCGAAGAAGGCGCATTCTTCCACCACAGTGCTGGCGCTACGCGAGACCGCACTGTGCGCAAGAGAATGAGAATGGGAAACAATCATGAAAGTGGAATGATGTTCGCATCTGCAGATTCATACGAGCCCTGCGGATTCACCGGGTGGGCAAGGTATCTTCATGGTCCAGGTTAGTCTGCAGGGGGAGGAGTACACTGAGTACACTGTACAGAGTACACCGTTGCCATGGAAGTGGAAGGATGTGAACACCTGTTGGGGGTCTTCGGACTGACTATAGGTCCTTCGAACTCGGGGCCATGCTAGACCTCCCATGCCATGCCATCCTTCCGAACCCACCATGATATAGGAACCCAAGTCGTAGGCTGAGTACTACATCGAGCAGCGCTTGGTTGGTTGGATCATTGGAAAAGGCCCGTCGAGATCTCGCGGGCGACATCGATCGGTTTCAGAGAGATGGAACGGGGCGGGCTGAATTTTTCACATGTTGCGTGGTGACAAGGTGGTGGGATTTCCGGATTTCCCTTTAGGTTTGTGGGCTTAAAACCACTGTTTTGCAGCCGGAAACATACGCAGTGGTGAGAAGAGCCCATGTTCAGGTTTTTACCTCATTAAGTGAGAACAAACAACAGTACAAACAAGAGAAACGGACAGACAGGTCAATTTCATCCACTTCATGCCTCTCCCACATGAGATTTTTGTTGGCCCTCAGTTGACTGATGAGAGATGCTGCCAGGTGGTTCCACACTGCGCGAAATTGAGCAGGCAAGGTGGTCTTTTGTTGATCCGACGCAACTTCGAACGCCCAAACTTCAGAGTGGATGAGTCAAAGCTCGCTTGGCCTCCCTTGCAGTCAGCTTGGGGTCTGGGTCTCCGGTGGGGTCTCCGGTGGGGTAGACCCGGTCTCGTTTTCTTTTGGTTTACCTGCCACATCCATCGTGGTCCAGCGTTCCTTTGGCTCCACCGCGCTCCACGTCCGTGGTGACGTCGGTCGGTCTCTGTCGACAGAGAGGCCCATGACGTCAAGGTGGTTGTGGACCAGAGCAGTCGCCCAACTCAATCGTTGAAGAGTGGATGCGGAGACTGGTGGCAGCAGTGGGACAGTCGACTGGGACTGATGGAATGACCAAGCAAAGCAGCAGGATCTTCCGAAATCGCTGACCTTCAGGGAACAAGCCAATTCAGGGTCCAAGGTGAGAATTCCACTTGTTCGAAGTTCACGGTCCTTTTTTTGTGGGGGAGGCTTGCTGGTCCTGGTGTTTTGGGCCATACCGGCCTTAGGACTCCCTGATCACTCCCTTATCAATCCCAACCGCAACCCCATGACTCTCAGCCCTGTCGCAGGCTCGTTGCTGATGGCCAGTCCGCCGATGCTCGTGACTCGCTCGTGACTCCCTCCGGCTCCCTCCGACCTGTCCGACGCCCTCCGACTCGCACGGAGGCAAGGGTTCCGGCTTCAGCAAAGTGCTGATCTCCGGGTCCAAGGCCAAAGTCCTGGAGGCCGAGCGGTCCAGTCGGTCCACTGTGGTCGTTCGGCCGAGTGGTCGTTCGGTCGAGTCGAAACGCCCAGATAGCGAACAAAAGAACATGCTGAAGAACACAGGAAGAAACCTTATGGTAAAGCCTTATATGGAAGCTGTCTAGTATGGAAGCGGTTTGGATTGAAGCAGCCTTTTTTTTGCCTCGCTCACAGAGTCCCAGCGAGTCCATTTCCAGACAGCTTGCACTTGCACGACTGTTGACGGTGATGGTTGGGTGGAGCTGTGACCCATCATCTCCCTCATCCCTCGCCGCATGCAGTGCAACTGCCACTGAATTGCTACACCAAGTCTTCCAGAGATCGACATGGAACCTGATGGCATGGACCTTTGGAAGACATGTTTCCTCTACAATAGACTCTACAACCCCAGTAGTTTGCAGGGCTCTTTTCCAGGGCTCTTTTCCAGGGCGTACGTTGTGGATCTAAAGGCCGACAATGACGCGCTCATGTTTTGCCTTGATCCTGTTCTACCCTGCTGATCCTCCTCTATCTTCTCCAGGATGTCCTTTTGTTTTGGTGGGGGCTTTTTGGAGAGCCTTTGTCGTCGGGTTGTGGGTCTTGTGTTATCAAGGTTCTGTAATCCATCTCAACAAAATGGGTGGCAGACGCGATTTTTTCCATCCCATGAGGCTGTGGAGCACATCAACAACTCATTGTCTGAGCCTCGTTGGGCAGGTTTGTGCCAATTCCTGCCCAGCTGTTAAATTCCGTCAAGAAACACGGCTTGGGACATGAAACGTTTCAATTGGTCCAATTCACACCACAAGAGCAGTCTAAAAGTATATATATATTGTTTGTCAATAGGGATGGGGTCCCAGTATAGTCGCTATACAGGTACATGCCATATACCATTTTGGCTCAAGTGCCCAACCAGGTAAAAAGGAGCTTTAGCGCGCGAGCTTCATGTTGACCTAAGAGCTAGAACGGGGCCAGGGCACACCTTTCCATCCGTTCGCAGGTTATCAGCCGTATCCAGACTCCTTTGAGCTGGGTGCGAGCTGCGGCCTTACACAACACCATCTAAACGCACACGCATCGGATAGATCAGTTACCCTCAGTCACTGAAGATGGACCAATCCGACGCCAGCACTGCATCTTTTGGAGCAGCTGCTGCGGCCGCAGATCGGATGAGTGCATCCCACAACTCTAGTCCAGGTACGATCGAAGCGGAGACTCTGACAGTGGTGAGAGAAGTTGCGACAGGTAGAGCACGAAGTCGTTCCCCGTCAGCGCACTCGACACCACCGTGGGGGACACCGAGATCAGGCCGTAGCCCTAGGGAGACGAGGAGGAGGACTGACACCGGAGCTGTGAGAGCGCTAGCATTGCAGGATGGGTCAGCTGTACCAGTGCCGTCGGACAGCGAAGCTGGAGATCGAGCAAGGGCAAGCACTGACAACCTACAACTAGCACGGGCCGATGGAGACCTGAATGCGAAATGTGCGCAACTACTTGCCGAAGTGCATATGTTGAACCATCAAAACGCATGGATGGTCGAATGTGAGCAGAGACAGAACCAGATTATACAGCACGAGACCGAAGTCCACGAAGTAGTGATGGCACACCTTGAAGAATGTTATGTCGAAGGATACGGAAATCAACGAAGAATCACCCAACTTACAGAATCCAGAGACTGTTTGCTCTCAGCAGCACACGACCTGCAATACCAGATGGACACTGATCGTGTGGCAATGCGGGATCGTCTCACCCAGTTAGGGGAGTACGCTGATCGCAACAGCGCAGAGATGGTTAGTCAAGTTGTGAACATCGGCACGGAAGAGATCCAGGCTATATCGGCAGAAAGAGATCGAGCCGTAACCGAGGTCATGACTACAATCGCAGATGCTGAGAACGTCAAGGATCTGTGTAGACAGGAGTTAGTTGGACTACAAAGGCAGAGTGCCAGAAACAAACACGAATATGCTGAAGAGATGAAGATGAGGGAAGCAATGTATGCAAGCAAGATCAAATGGTTATCAGAAGAGAATGAGGAGCTCAACAACCGATCTAATACTCAGGACAAGTTCATCTTGAGCATCAGAGAGCAATTGCAGAAGGCGAACGAGGAGTTGACTCAGACGAGGACTCAAGGATCCGATCGACCGTTTCAACCATCCAGCGCCGAACTCAAGAAGGCCGAAGTCAAGGTGAACATGTTGGAAGAGGACATTCTACGTAAAGAGAGGATGCTGAAACGTCTTCAGGAAGAATTGATCGAATCAAGCGCAAGTGAAGCACAATTGAAGGTCGCACTGAAGTTGAAACCACCAGACATGGGATCAGAACCCAGTGTGGAGAATGAGATGATGACCAAGCTTAGAGCGGAACTTGAACGTACTGAAAAGTTATTAAGGTCCGAGGAGAAAGAGGCAATTGAGTACTACGAAGGTATGATGCAGAACCAACAGGACATGATGGAATTCGAAGCGCATGCATCACGGCTCAGAGATGAGAGGAATAAGTACCGAAAGAGGTACGAAGAGGAGCGCACAAGTGCAGAGAATGCAGCCGCAACCGAACATGGTGCCGCTTCATCCTCTAGTTCAGGTGGCTCCAAGATATCTCGGAAGGAACACGAGAAGATCAACATCCCTGCATGGCCCAAGATACACGACTTGGAGGTTTGGAAATCCCAGGTTGTAGCGGCAGTCGTGACGGCATCGGGCGATGAGAAACAAGAAGACTGGATCCAATGGCTCTCGGATGCCTTCAGATCACCATATGACCCATTTCTACTCGAGACATCAGGCGAAGCAAGATTCGCTAGCATAGACGCTAAGCTAGGTATCACCCTACACACGATCATCCACGCAGCAGGTGAGAGATCTCATGACGTACAACTGAAGGTGAGGCAGATGATGCAGAGACGTGTGAGAGGCACAACTCCTGGAATGGTCAAGGGACGAGAAATGTTAGCGTTGATCGTCGATAGTTTCCGGAGTGCCGACAACGTTGATGTGATGTATGCATCCAAGCACTTATTCGATCTAAAGTTCCCTGGAGATAATCAACTATCTAGATTCCTTGGACAGTGGGATGAGATCATATCAGGTATGGATGCGGATGACATGCTTCCTGACAAAGCACTTCGCAACCTGCTTTGGGATAAGATTAAGGATTCCAAAGTTATGGCGTTAGACTTGTCTGTGTACGACAACATGTTGGATAAGGATCCGGATAAGACCTACCAGAAGTTACGAGAGATCATGACGAAGTGGATACGGAAATCAATTGAGACCACAAACAAGAAAGAAAGGGAAAGAGCTTTTGGGAACATCGTGAAAGCCACACCAGCGGCGGAGAAGAAGGACCCTAAAGCGAAACCCAAGAATACCAAGGCCGATCCACCGAAACATGACGCCGCTCCAGTACTTCCTCAGGCTAATCCGAAGGACCACAACAAGAAGGACAAGAAGCAGGATCGTGGAAGATCAGCCACGAAGAGCCCAAAAGGGGATCGTGGCAGGTCAGCGACTCCAGCAGATACGTCCAAGATAGGATGCGCTTTCCACTTCCATGGGAAAAACGGATGTTCTAGAGGAGATAAATGCAAGTTTAGTCACCAAGAGAAGCACAAGAGTTCTGCCAAGAAACCAGAAAGCCTCAAGGGTGACAGATCAAAGAGTCCTGGTGGCAGGAGCAGTAGCCCTAAGCCAATGAAGGATCAGGTCTGTTGGAATTGGCAGAAAGGATCGTGCAAGTTCGGGGACAAATGTCGACGTCAGCATCACGCTGCTCCTGCTACAAAACAAGAGGCTAAAGGCAAAGCCAAGCCCAAACCGGCTGCGCCAGCCTTCATGCTTTGCGGAGACATCGAGAGTGATGACGAGGACGTACAACCCGCACTTCCCAACGTACAACAAGGTGAGCTGGCGCTTCGCTTTAAAGTCAGATTCGATGACCAGGCGAATGTGACCACGTTCACCTGCGATCCTGGTAACGAGCTAAACATCCGTCCCCTCAGGAAGAAGAAGAATGAGGTGCAGAAGGTGGATACCGAGCTCATTTCGTCGTTGAGAGCCCTCAGAGTGAGCAATATAGCTGCACGAGTAGCACATGCCAAAGGTAAGATGATGGAGCTATTCTATGCTGAACACATTGCCAAGGCATGGATACAAATCACTCAAGATGAAGGAATCGAGGTGAACGTCGACCTGTCTGATTTCAACACCAGAGAGGTAGTAAGGAAGGATTCTGTCAACTACACGATACCAGGAGACACGATGTTCATGGCTGTGGAGAGGTATGATGGACCACCAATACGCTTCATCATGGACACGGGATGCGGACACGATTTGATCTCAAGAGAGAAAGTCAATGCCATGGGCCTTACCACCAAGGAAGGACCCAAATCCGTGAGCTTCATGACAGCGAATGGTGTAACTAGTACATCAGAGATGGTGGACATCAATGTGGACGAACTACCCATGAGGTCCGAGGCACACGTGTTGGAGAGCACACCATCAGTCTTTTCCATCGGGAAACGGTGCACGGAACGAGGGTACTCATTCATATGGCCGGCAAATCAATTGCCATACCTCATCGACCAGAACGCGAACAAGATTCCGCTATCGGTGCATGACAACATACCCTACATCAAGGTGAATGATGATGACGGGAGATGTTTACCAAGATCAGACGGCTTGGCTACGATACTTCATCGCATACTGTCAGGTGTGGGGCATGAAGACGAGGTCACAGCAGGTCAGGAGACACAACAAGAGGAACTTCCGCCCAAGAAACCACGGAGACGGAGGAGAAAGAAGAAAGATAACCAGAGAGGTCAGGATGGTGAATCTGATATCAATCCAGCTGTTGCAGGCGTCGAAGGAGAACCAGAGGAACACGGTGATGACGGGTATTCTCCTGGAGAGGAATATGACGGGGAAGACCCGAGATTCGATCGTGATCACGAAGGTCAACCTGAAGAAGCCGGAGGCGACGAACATGGAGGTGATGCGGGTTCTGAACGAGAGGAGAGTGACATTGATGAAGATGAAGAGGGACTATTGGAAGTCGATGTGGTTGACGGGGAAGCTAGACTATCAAAACCAGGAGTGTTGAAGAACGAGGCGAAATCCATATCGCACTTGATGACGCACCGATACAAGAACCCATACTGCAGTCATGTGTGAGAGAAAAGATGAAGCACTACAAGACTAGCAAGGGAGCTTTCAAACGGAAATTGAAGGCATTCGGTGACCTTATCACTTTCGATCTCATGAACACTCAGAAGATGGCGAGAGATGGGATCATGCCGGATAAGGACATATTGGTGATTCGAGATCGGTTCACTGGTGTGATATGGGGCTATCCATTGAAAGCAAGCAATAGTGACGAAGTGGTGCAGGCAATGAAGCACTATATCGGTAAGAGAAAGGTCACCAACGCTTACTCGGATGATGCGCCACAATTCGAATCAGCACTCAAGGAACTCCGGATTCCACTAGACCAGTCGCTTCCAGGACATCCCCAGAACAATTCACTCGCCGAAAGAAACAATCAGTTCATGATGCTTACCACATCGACATGCCTACTAGAAGCCGGACTACCACCATGTTTTTGGCCATTTGCAGTGGAATGCGTAAGCCATTTATTGAACATCGAGAAGCTGAGCGATGGCAGCAGTGCATGGTTGAAGTTGCACAAGAGCGA